GTGCCTGTCCTAGCTGGTGTCCTCCAAACGAACGCCCCGTTCCGGGGTTACCTTGTCGGAAGCTCCGCGCTGCCGGGCTGGCCTGGGGTGCAGCCGCCAGGCTCTCGCAGCCTCAGGCGACGAGGTTGCTTTCGCGAGGTGCTTCCTTTGGGCCACGTTCTGCCGTGTCTTCCCGGAGTATTCGGAGGTTCCTGCAGGTGGGTTTTAGCAGGCAGAAAGGGCAGAGTCTAGCTTACGTTTTGCTAGATGGAATTCTGAGGTTTTGTATTTTCACGCTGCAGCGGTTTGGGGTGGGAAGTGTCTTTACAAGAGTTTCAGTTGTTGCGTGGAAGGTCTTTTGTTCGTTAAAGGATACGATGATGTGGCGGGAGGAGAAGATCCCAAAGTCAGTTCCGTGCAGTGTTGTGGGGGATGATGCTGCAGCTTTGATTTGCTCTTCCTTTTTGTATCATGAGGTGTATAAAATATTTAGTAATTTGCAATTTAAAAAGAAGCCCGTATTTGGTCTCATGAACCCATTAACAGCTTTTTCAGTTGTGAGTAGATCGCCCTTCCTGAAATGCATCTTACAAAGCTTTTACGACATTGAACGTAAACACCTGCCGTGTTTGCATGTTAGTAAACTATTTTTTTCTTGTTTCTATAAAATTATGTGTCGAGAACAAACTGCACACTATTGCAAAAAAAACGCAGTCTTTTTTCCTTCATTTTAACTGTGTTCTGAAATTCTCCTACTGTCCGTATATTTAAATTTTATGTGCGTGTGCATATATATTGCTATAGAACTACAAGAAGTTTAACTAATCAGGCTCAAACTTTGTTTAAAATTACAAGCACAAAAGGCTACTAAAATGTCAGGAAGAAAACTGTAACTGAGTTTTTATTTTCTCTAGGATTAACGTATGCACAAAACCAATTTAATACACAGTTTGCAATGATACACGATACCGGAATATATTTTGCCTGCACAGAAATTTATTTAGAAACAAATCTGAAATGACTAACCATGTCTTGGCAGCAACGTTTCTTCATTCTTGTCACTCATTTTTAAATGTGACAAAATGTTAGACTCTCCCACAACAGCAGGCTATCAGGGTACAAGTAAATCATGCAGGAATGTTCTAATTCAGTCAACAAACTCAGATTTTTTGATTATTTTGAAGCGGAACACTTTTCACTTTAAGATTGTCCGGACTAGTCCTCTGAGCCTCGCCGTAGCTGTGGAACTGGCAGTGTTTCAGGCTTCTAAGTCAGCGCTGAACATGACCATAAGAAGCAGATTTCCAGGTTTTTTTTTAAATTCAGAAATTCATCGTCAAAAGTTGGAAATTCATCTGTATGTTCCTTATAATGAAAGCTTGTCAGTGATTTTCATAGAAAAATCTCAAGAATTTTCTTTTAATTATTTTGCTGAATGTAATTACAATTTCCCTCCAGTGCTTTATCACAGAATCGCAGCATGGTGGGGGCTGAGGGGGACCTCTGGGGATCGTCCAGTCCAGCCCCCTGCCAGAGCAGTTTTTGACGCTTAGCTTTAACAGAGAAAAGGTTTCTTGTTTCATGGAAGGGTTTCATTTTTAAGATAGCATCACTTACAAAGAATCATTTTAATCTGAGCAATGAAGAGATCTGTACCTTAAGTTTCTAGAAGGGAGGGCAACTACCTTTAATATCATCAGTTATTCAGATTTGAAGACTTCCCAATTAGAATTCCCCTCAACTAATATTTAGCTCCACCACTATGATATGTTCTTGCAGGATAAAAAAAGAACTGTTTCCTCCTTATCTGTATATGCATTGATGCAATGGTCGTGGGTTTGGTTTGAGACCGAAAGTCTTATTCACAGGAAATCACTTGAAAACATGAATAACCTTAATATTTAAGTCCCATTAAATTAATGTATCTGCTTAAGTAAGTTACAAGCTCGCTTCCTGAATAAGATATTTTCGGTTTGTGGTCAGCCATTTTTGCTGCACTGGAATGGAATTTACATGTACAACATCAAGGCCTTACATAATTTATTCGTTCCATTTTACTAGAGGTTGCATTGGACTGAATCATCCTGGCCAAAAGTGAAATGGGAGAAGATATTTTTCTACAGAATCACAGGGTACTCTCTGTTTTTCTTTCTTGGTTGGCTAAGGTGATTTATCCTCTTTACTCCAAAAACCCCAGGGACGTTTTTGGGACATTTTACAAGATGTTGGTGTAAGGTTGAAGCTGGGGACAGGACACCAGTAGGCCAGTTCCCAGTTTTTCCCTGTGCTGTGCCATGACTCAAGCAGCAGTGCTGATTTTGCCTATTTGACTTGTTGGCTTTTGGTTTAGAACGTTGGATTCTGTGCAGCAGTTTAACAAGTTCACATTTCATTGTTCAAATGTTGTCAAGCCAAAGATACTTTGCCTCTTTCATTTTGTGTGGGCACTTCCTCTGCAGTGTCTGAAGTATGGAATCCTGCGTGTGAGTAACGGATACCAAAGGAAATCGCGTTCCCAGCCATTTCTTCAGAATCCTGTGATGCTTACAATGGAGTTATTGGGGTGTTGCTGATGATAACAATCAAGAAATCACATATAGGAGGGTAAAACTGGACACCTAAAAATTGAACTACAAGTAGTTAGAGCACTGTTAAAGCTCTGTGTCCAGATCTTGCATTTTTTTCTTGCTTTCTTTTTGTTAATTTTTACAGGTCTCTTGGTTTTTTGCTTAGATTTTTAGGCTTTAAAAGCTCAAGAACCTAAAGCAAATCCTGATTGAATGTCCAGAGTTTCTCTGGATTTTCTGACCTACCTGACTGAATGTCCAGAGTTTCTCTGGATTTTCTGACCTACCTGACTGAATGTCCAGAGTTTCTCTGGATTTTCTGACCTACCTGACTGAATGTCCAGAGTTTCTCTGGTTTTTCTGACCTACCTGACTGAATGTCCAGAGTTTCTCTGGTTTTTCTGACCTGAAACCCAAGTAACCTAGAATTACAAGTGACCCGAATGTTGCTGTCCTCTGCATGCTTTACAGCCGGACCCAAACCTCAGGTATATAACGCAGTTCGAGCCCATGCGTGCTAACGTGGTTTCATAAACAGCTGCTGCAGTGCTGGCAAGAAATTCAGTTTTGTGCAGGCAATGGAAATGCCGTGTTTGCTACATTCCTAGGAGGGATGTCTGGAAACACTAAGCATTTGAGCTGTATGACTTCATGCAGCTTTATCTCAGCAGAGTCGCTTATCATGCCAAAAGTGTCTGTATAGCTTGAAGTAGGTGCCGTTTGAAAATCGTTAATTCTTGTGCTCTTGCAGGGTGAAGCTGGCAGCAGTTTGTAGAGGCCTGGCTGCCTGCCAGCCATCCCCCCGTGTGGGCAGTGCCGTCCCCAGAGAGCAGGGCTTCCCAATCAATCGGTCAGACCTTGCTGATGAGGTGGAAGATCCCCAGTGCACGGGAAATGCGCTGCGTGCTTCCACCTCATCTGGCCCGAGCTGCTGTCACTAGTCAGGGGTAGGATCTTACTGGGTTTCCAAGCCAAGCTCAGCTGTAAGAGGTGGGAAACTATGCTATGGATAGTACTAAAGTCTTTAACAAATTAAATTATATGTCTAGGCCTGTCATGCTGGTCTTCATTGCAAAAGGGATCTTCATTTCTGTCTTCAGTTCTTAAGAATGTCGGTTCACAGGACCTGTGCGTGCTGAGACCCAATCTCGGTGTTGACCTTTGTGGTCGATTGGGTGCGTCCGTTCTCCCATCTTGGTTTAGCTCACCGTATGTTGCGTTTGGCTAGTGGCAGCCCTGCTTAACAAGAGGAGATTTCTTTTGAATTTACACCTGTTTTGTTTCACAGGGTTTTTCCACCAGAAATTCCAGCCCTACTGTCTTATTTTATCCATGGCTTCTGCGCCAGTCTGCCATAGACTGAGCCGTCAGTGCCTGCCTGTAGCTGGAGCTTGTAGGTGAAAATGAAACAGTACATGAGGAAGGAAACGTGTTGATATTACATCTTTTCAATTCATCAGTACAAATTTGCCTCCTGCTTACAAAGCTGTGTTTGGCTTAGCAATAGGGCATCGTCACCAAGATGCTGGTTTACTAGGTGTTAGTAGTTTCAAAGACCTGGTCATCCTTGGAGGATTCCTAATGCGCATACGTGTGTGTGTGTGTGTGTATGTGGGGGGGAATTGTAATTTCCGTGTGTTTTACAGTTGCTAATGTATTACTGTAAGAGGAATTCCTCCAGAAAGCCATCATTTTGGAGTTTCTAGGTAGCAGAAAGAATATGTAACGGTAACATTTCTACCCTTTCCTCTGTATTCCCTTTGTGTGAGGCCATCAAAAAGGTCATGGTCTCTTTCAAGGCTCCAGAGTCAACTTTCCTTTCAGCTGACCTGGACCTGGAAGTGAATATCATTTGCATCATATATTTTGTCATCCACCTTCAAGACTGATTTATAAAAAACCCATCCTGTTGCATGGTTGCTGAGCTCTGATCATTTCTCCTCTACCTCTGCTTTCACCTTTTATTTCCATGGTACCTGCTGCGACTTTTTCTTCATCTTCACATCCTCCCTTCCTTCCTTGTCCCTGGGAATTTCTCCATTAAGTTTGAACTCTCCTGTTCACCATAAAGAGTCTAGTACTATGGTTGAACAATCCTTCAGCACCAAGAGATCTTTTTAACCTTCCTCCACCTCCCTTTGAAACCACTTTTACACTTACTTTTCCCCCAGAATAATTTTAACAATTGTTTTCATATCATCATATCTTCCTTGGTCAAGTGACCAGCTGGAAAAAATACATTTGCATCACAAAGTTATGTTACCTTGAGGAGCAGGGCAAGGCAGTAATTAGTACCTCTGAAGCCAGAATATACTTGTGCTAATTGTTGGCTTAGAGGTCCCTATATCTTTTAATTAGTTGTCCTATTATTACCCTAGAGTGCTTTAATTTTAAATGAAAGATAATAGCTGCCTTATCTCTAAGGAAACTGGTCTTGGTTTTATTAACTTACAGGACAGAAGAATAATTGGCACATATCATTGTCCAGAAATGTATTCAACAAAGGTATCTTTCATTGTTTTCTAATGCTTTTATCGTCAGAGACTTAAAATCCAGGTCCTGACCACTTACGGTCACTAAAGATCCCATGGCACTTTTTTATAGCGTGCTCATCTCAACCCCAAGCACCTGGCCAAATACCAATTTGTGTAACCGTGCAGCTTACCTGACATTCCCCCCGCCACCCCCCCACCCCATAGTCTCAATTGGCAACGGCATTCTCCATTTCCTCGACCAAAGCGTGGTGTGTTGTTCTGCGCTGCCAGGCCCCACGTTGCCCACGTGACGGCGCTTCGCTGCGAAGCGATTCTGCTTTCTAAAGCTCCTAAAGCGCTTTGGGATCCTTTCCATGGGCAGTGCTGCCTACAGCAAAACTGTAATGCGTTGTTATTCTGCCTCAGGCTTCATGCAGTTACAAAAGCAGGTTTTGTTTAGAGTTGGGCGAACCTGCTTGGTGGAAATAACGCTCCCAGCTCTCCGTAATCTGCCAAGGAGCCTTTTGTCAAAGGTTGAAAAGTGAGGGTAATTTCTTTCCGGGGTTTGTTTCTGTTGTTGTTGTCGTTTGTTCCTTTGTTTCTTGTATTTTCCCCATTCATTTGTACTTCTGGATTGGAACTTTGGGAGTTCTTCAGATTGGGGGATTCAAAATACCATGAAAAACGCAGTTCTTGTTATGGTCAGGGCACCGTTCCAGGTGCGGGAGGGTCAAATCAGTGTTCGAGAAGCACTTGAACTTTGCGGTGCTTCCCGGGCTCTTCTAACACTTGAAGGTTCGCCCATCACTAATTTTTACTGTATTTTGCATTATTTCTTCTGAAAAAATCTTGGAATATTGAAAAATGCTGCGCTCCAACTCTGTTATCAGTGTGAGATGTGCAGAAGACGACACTTTGCCCTAGAAGGTAGTTGAGGATATTGCTGAATGTTTTTTCTGCGCAGCATCACTAATCTGACTAACCACTGGCAAGATCACCAGGTATCTCCAGCAGTTTGCTGTGTTAAGAAATCGACTGAAAAGGGAGCAGAAGTGACAAAAGAATCAAAGCAAAAAGTTAGAGGAGTGAGATCACGGCGCTAAAGCGTGTCTGTGTGGAACTCCAGTAGACTGAAAGAACTTTTCCTGCGTTTGTGTTGCATGGAAAGTATGCGAGTGTGTAAAGAACACGCAAATTTCCAACATCATTGCAGGTCAGAAGGATAAAATGCTTAAAGTAGGTTCATCCTAAGAAGGTTTAAGATGTGAACAGATTTGTTGACACAAATCTTTCTGAAGATAGTATCTTAGCATGCACAACACTGAGGTGACGAGAACGCAGGCTGTGGGCTAGGGGGTAAACCCCTTGCATTAGTGGGTGTTACGTCAAACTGCCCCTCGTGTCATCGAACTAAAACTTCTCTTCTTTCCTTGAGGCTGTGTGAAACTAGGGAAAATGGGGTTTCCAAATGGCTTTGCACCCCTCTTGTAAGATACTTGCTCTGTTTGGTTTTTAAACGTCCTTGTGATCAGTTAATGCCGAGTGCCTATAATTGCTTTTATTTTCAGGATACTGAAAGTCTTACTATTTTTCTGAGATCTTATAACAAAAATGATCACTAATTTTGTCTTACCCCAAAAATCACAGAAGAATTTTCTAAATGACTGCAGTCATTATAAAAAATGTTTGAAAGCTCCCTTGAGAAGTTTCATAGATCTATTGGAAAGCATTTGCATACGTTTGCTTTTGTTCGCATTACAGTAGCAGAATACTCTTTTTGCCTGAGTTTTGCCTAAATTTGAAAGCTTTTGCATATGTTTGCTTTTGTTTATATTACAATAGCAGAATACTCTTTTTGCCTGAGTTTTGTCTAAGGCAGATGAGAATTGATTTGGCGGCCTTCCTGGCACAGTGTTTCCTCGAAGTGCTCAGTATCGTGCTACAGGGTCCTTCAAGGAATTTTTCATGAGTTCCAGCTCAACTTTCCCATTTTTCCAGTGCTTCTCAGAAGAGATTGACTTCCCTAACACACAAGAAAATTCAAAGATTTCATATGGCTTCGATGGTAAGCAAGCAAAAGTAGATGATTTTGGCTGCTTCACATGGAGTCATTACATTTGATCTAAAAGTAATATATAACGAAACTAGAGGGGTGCAAACTCCCATAGATTAAAAAAAAAAAAAAGGGGGAAGCCTGGCATCTCAGCAATGCCCGTTTTGATGCATCACTTGAACAGATGCAGTCACTCAAACGGCCGTGTTCCGGTAGGTCCAAAGTACTTTTGTGAGTGTCCGACCTCCCGGGTGATAAGACCGTGCAGCGGATGCTACTCAAAAGCCGCTGTTTTCACCCCAGTTCTCTCACCGCGCCGTGTCAGGTATCACCTGCAGCGGTTCTTTAATCATGGCAGCCACGGTGCTGTCCTGGGCAGCGCGGCGAGCTACCTGCTGCTGACTGCTGGCTTCTCGATATCGCAGAACAGGCTCATGCCAGATTATTGTTTAGAAATCCACAAAAGTCACAGTTTGTGCACTTTCAGTAAGAACTGTAGTGTGTATCATGTACTTTATAAATGAATAATGTGGAAAAGTTATTCTTCAAGGAGCTCTGGGACAGTTTTGTCTCTTATTTGGCCTGCAGTATATCTGCATTACCATCACTAGGTCAGTGTACTTAATTAGCTGCTTATTACCTATTATTGCTTTTAAAGTATTTTTATGGAATTATGCTCTGTAATAGCAGAATTCAAAACATACACTTAGAGGGAAGGCTGAGGAGAAAAAGAACTTCCTAAATAACCTTATATTTGTTTTCTCTAAATGGGTTATTTTGGAGTTCTCTTGCCATTCTTCAGATCTACTCCAGATTGCCCGGTTCCTCATCTTTGAAACCCTCTTAATTGTCAAAAGGGTTTTTTCACAACATTGCATTAATATTTTTTTCACTGAACTGCCTTTAAAAAAAAAAAAACAGAGTAGCTGAGACCACCCTCTGAGACAGCAGTGGGACGTACGCTGGCTGTGGTTACGCTCCGTGTCTGCTTCTCCTTGCTCTGCAGCGCGGATCCCTGCGTTCCAGCGCCCAGGTCCCCGCCGCACGCGCGCTGTTTCTGGAAGCCGTTGGCGCCGGGGATGGCCTTTCCCCGTAGCTGCAGTCAGGCCGTGTCGGTGCCTTCCCCCGCAGCCAGCGGTCCGGTCCGGACCACGGGCACGGAAAGCTCGCCCGCTCTTGGGGAGCGCTGGGGGCCTCGCTTTGCAGAGGCAGAGATGCCTGCTGAGGACCTGCAGGTTTTCTCAGAGAAGGAGCTTTCACTTGCAAGAAGCAAAACCAAACCAAAGCAGACCCTTTCCATCTGATTTCCCTCCAAAATCCCCAAGAAGTTCACCCCAGATGTCCAACCCGGTGGCCGAAGCCCACTGCCAGGAGCTGAGCACGCTCTGCCGTTCCAGGTACTGCTTTTGCTCCCTGGACACGGGGCCTGGGGAAATACCATTTATGCCATTAAACTGTGCTGGCCTTACTGCTCCTGGAGTCCACAAATAAACGACAATAAATATAGTTACGGCCGTGCTTAAAGCCTTTAGACAGGCTGATGCCCAATGACTTAGTAAGGTTAGCCCTGGCCTTCGTCAGCATGGCTTCAGCTTGCGACCGAGCGGGCTTCCTTTCTCCCCCGTTAAATCTGCTTTCTCCTTTTTTCCAGATGGACCCACATGAAAACATTTTGTTGAGCACGCTTGAAATTAAGAACGAGATGGCTGCCTCCGAGGCTGTGATGGAGCTTGGGGACCCTAGGAGCACGATGCTGGCCTACGACGCCTCGAGCATCCAGTACCGCAAAGCTGGCTTGCCCCGACACAGCTTTGGCCGCAACGCGCTGGAGCGGCACGTGGCACAGAAGAAGAGCAGGCTACGGAGACGTGCATCGCAGCTGAAAATTACCATTCCCGACTTGACTGATGTGAATGCCATAGATCGGTGGTCGCGCATATTCTTCCCTGTGGTTTTTTCCTTCTTCAACATCGTCTATTGGCTTTACTATGTGAACTAAGAAACGAAGCCACACAGGAAGCACGAACTGGGTTTCTCTTCAAATCGGTTGTACAGCCAAAAGTGGGACTTAGAAAAATTCTATTCAGGACAAAAAGTTACGTTAAAACACCTTAGTTGCTGGCCCACTCTCTGGTCTGTTTTTACAATGTTTTGGTTGTATCTGCTAAATCATAACGATGTTAAGCTGCAGTACGGACATACCCCTTATCAAAATAGAAGTGCATTTCGAGTGTGAAGGCAAATTGGACTTTGACAATCACTTCTGTCTCATGGGCCCTCACGCTCTCTTTGTTTTTTCCTTTTTTTTTTTTAATGGCCATTTGAGTTTAGTGATACAAATTCTAGAGCAGCATTTGAGAAACGAGTTCTGGTTGTCACAGCAGGACATTCCCAGGGACACCGCGCCTCCGGGGCATGCGTCAGAGCGGGTACCGAGCTGTCCCTGTGCTGATGAAACTTCACCTTTGAAGTGTGTAAACTTGAAAACAAGTAGTGCCTGTCATCTTTCGAAGATGATGATGGTCAGAGGTTTCCCAGCCCCGTTCAGGCATTTCCCGTTACTGACAGAACGGAACCTGTGACCGATGATACTCGGGCTGGGTGGCTGCGGAGAAGCTGAAGCGAGGAGCACTGGTTTTGTTCGGGTTTTGCAGGGAGAACGTGCGGGTGCAAGCACGGTGACCGCAGCTGGGGTCGGCAGAGGAACGTGGCGACGCTCTGAAGACGCGCCGGCTCGGACTGGGCAACTGCTGGGCCACATAGCGATGCTCCCGGTGGCTGACGGAAACCAGGGGCACCCGGCCTTTCTCCGGGGCAGGGAGGAGCTACAAAATACAGGGCCCGGGAGAGGGAAGGCTGCGTGTGTGTGCGCGTGCGAGGGTTGTCAGCCATAGGGGTGAAGCACTCGGCTGGAGCCGTTTGGTTTCTTCCAAGCTTGCAGTCTCCCCAGCACTGCGCTTGCCACCGCCGTCGGGCTCAACGCCTCGCGTGCAGCTTGGTTGGAGCTGTCGTGCCTCGTTCAGCAGCAGAGATCCCAGCGTTTGTCCTTCGGGAGGAGGAGTACTGGCGGGGTGTTTTCTCAGCCTGGATCAGGCGATGCCATCTCGCTTCTTGTTTTGTCTTCCCTAATGCGCTGTTTTAAAGGGAAAAATCGTAGCCGTCGCTTCAAGAGTTTAATTACACTCTTGAATGTTTCCTGCTTTAGGGTGATTTCCACTGAAAAACTGGCAAATTGCAAGTTTGCTTTAGGAAACTTTTTGAGGGAAAGGGAGTTTTTTTCATTCCGTAGAGTTTCATCTTGTAGGCAAAATAGAATAGCCAAAAAATAGAGCTTTATAGGTGAAGTAGAGGTTGCCATTTAGTCCGTTGTGCAAACTTTTTCTGTAGAGAAAAGAAAAAATCACAAGAAGTGTATAAAAAGTATGAATTCCTGCTTGCTTTTGCCAAATCAGATCCCCAGTGATGTTTGAGCCAAGATATTTCACAAAGCAAAAGCCACATCTGTTGTATCTGTGCTGCCTCTCATCTGTCTACAAATTTCTGGAAGAAACTGGAATTCAAGTAGCAAAGGAGTTTTTTTCAGGCAGATACATTTCCCCCCGTTAAGCAGTCCTTTGGTGATGCTTTGTGGTATTTCTTACAGGTATTTTTCATAAAATATTTCCTTTGAATTTTTTGCTCTTGGTTTAACAGAGCAAGTTTCAGCGGGTTTTGTTCTGCATTTGGCAGGGAAGGACGGTGGTAGGAGGAAAGCAGTTCTGGGCACTCACAGGCCAGTTTGCTGCCTTGTTTAGAGCACTTATTGCTGCTTCAAGTGGGAGTGGATGGCTCGGAGCCCGAGGGGGCTTTGCCGGGCGCACGCAAGACGCGGTGTTTCCGAGGGAGCTGGGCGCACGGCCACGCGCTGCCGACTGTGACCGCGCTGTCATCAGGCGCGTCCCTTCCCCAGCCGCGGTGCTACTGCTTCTCCACGTACCCCATCTCTGGCTGCGTTTCCTGCAGAGCGCGAGAAGCTTTGTGGATGCATTTGGAATTTCAGCTGAGAGGTGCGAAGCATGTTGGAATTTTTTTTCCCGGTTCTAAATTTCACAGAATCACAGAATCACAGAATGTTAGGGGTTGGAAGGGACCTCTGTGGGTCACCTAGTCCAAATCCCCTGCCGAAGCAGGGTCACCTACAGCAGGCTGCACAGGACCTTGTCCAGGTGGGTCTTGAATATCTCCAGAGAAGGAGACTCCACAACCTCCCTGGGCAGCCTGTTCCAGTGCTCCGTCACCCTCAGAGGGAAGAAGTTCTTCCTCATGTTCAGACGGAACTTCCTGTGCTTCAGTTTGTGCCCATTGCCCCTTGTCCTGTCACTGGGCACCACTGAAAAGAGCTTGGCCCCATCCTCCTGACCCCCACCCTGCAGATATTTGTAGGCATTTATAAGGTCCCCTCGCAGCCTTCTCTTCTTCAGGCTGAACAAGCCCAGTTCCCTCAACCTCTCCTCGTAGGGGAGATGCTCCAGTCCCCTCCTCATCCTCGTAGCCCTCCGCTGGAAGAAGAAAAAGAGCAAAATTCAGTATTTCTCTTCAAAGTCTGTTCCTAACGAAAAGTATTAATTATTACACATAAAAGCGGTCTTACAGTATTTTTCTGTACAAGCTTTTCTTTCATTTCCCAAATTGCTGCCAGCTCCTCCTTCGTCCCGCAGAAGCATCGTGTGGACGATGCAAGCTCCGCAAGCCACAGCCGTCGGGTCCCGGGGCAGCACTTTGATTTCTCTGACGCTGCAGTACAAGCCATAACGCTCTCTGACGTCGCCGGTCAGGGGGTGAAAGCAAATCTCGGATTCCTGCTCAGGTGTCACTAGGAAAGAGGCGTTACCTGGGGGGAAGGAGCACTTTCGCTTTTGCTGTGTCCTTCTGACCATTAATGTGACGAATCAAATCAGCGGAAGAAGGATTCTATCATTTTGTACTAAGGCTGAACACTGTGATACAAAAAGATGGGGGTGAGAAAGGCTGGCGAGGCGCTGTCAGGGGACGAGTGGAGCTCGAGCCCAGGGAGAGCGCTTACTCCTCTTCCGAGATGCTGGAGCGAAAGGGAGAGCTTACGCCGACGTACACGAGGTTTGCGGGGTTTGCGGTGCGTGCTACCCTCCAGGTCAACTAGAATAAATTTGCTTTTACTTTAGAATTGACCGAAAATGAATATTCTAGATCCTTTCAATTGTGGTAGTTGTTGGTAGTTTCAATAAGCAAAGTATCAAAGTTAGCAATGTCAATAAACCTTGTAATATAATTATAGTTGCACAGTTTATTGTTCTATTGGACGTGATAGCCAGCAATTAAGGTGTTTTTCATCTTTGTGAAATTCATGGGCAAATTACGACTCTAACATGGCACAGTTTTAATGAAATCTTTGAGATCAATCTGTAAATATATACTGTACATGACTGCTAGTAGGTATGAACACATTTTCAGAATTGAAAATCCATGCAACATGTTTCTGTGTTTGCATAAGGGATGTGACGTTTCTGTCCTATCGCGGCTCAACGACTGGGAGGAAAGACTCAAGCGATGCCATTGTGACCATTTCTGTTCTCATTCCCAGGGGAGGAAAACAGGCTTAGGGAACAGCCTGTCGCAGAGATCTTCGGAGAGCTTTTACCTTCTGATACGAAGGACACAAAGTGTGTAAGGTACCAAAGCACAACGGGCAGAGAAAGGAGTGGTGGTCTTACACCTGGGGAACAAATCCTCTTTTTTTCAGACAAATATGCATTAAATGAAAGCTCAGTTCATTTTCAGTGTAATTAGTAGACTGTGTTCCAGTTCGGTACTGTGACGCAGTACTAAACATAAGTGAACAGATGTTAAACATTATACAGCTATATGTGCATATGGACGTACGCCTGACCGTCCCTATGGACATATGTGTGTGCCTATATACACGTGCTGGGTGTATATGTGCACACACGTTCACATGTTGGCGTGTTAAAGGAATAAGCTAATAATAGTTTTGTTTCTACCATCAACAAGTGTATGACTATATTTTTGAGAAAAAAAAAAAAAAAAGATTAATGTATTTACAAAAACCAACTTACTCTACAGGGTAACGGGGCATTTCCGTATCAGCAGATCGGTCCCTAGGAGTCGTGCGGAGCGTTGTCCCTTGGCGGGGCGGCACTGCTGTACCTCCTAGCGTCTGCAGTTAGGCCAGTCCTCCCATCGCTTGCCTACGTCTGCTCTCTCTTTTTATAACAGCATTGTCCACTAGTAAGTTTTCAAAAACCAACAAATTCCTTAAGGCACCGAGAAAAAAAGGCAAAAGCATTAACGATTTCTAGACATTAATCTAGGGTGGGATGGCCAGGGTACAATACGATCTCAGTAGTGACCATAACATTTTGCTCTGTGTACATAGAACATACAATGTGAGCAACCATAACTTAAGCTGAACGTGTGTAAATATTATCAGATTTCTTAAACATTTTTAACTTCTGATTTGTACTTTATGGTAAGGCAAAAAGCTAATTCTACTTATGGTTTAGGTTAATGTGTCCTAAAATCATGTAAATAATTAAAGAAGCTGTAAATGAGCGGTCGATAGATACAGTAATTGTTCAGTGGCTTTTTTTTTTACCAAGTACAATAATTGCAGTGCTCTAGCAGAGTAATTTAAACACCCTTTTGCATAAGCAGATTTGGATTCCAGATACAAAGGAGCAGAGGAAGCACTGTAGTGTTAAACAGCCGTTGCAGCAATGCTGCCGCCGGCAGAGTCGATCCTTCCGCGTGGTTAAAATGTCCGGGCAAGGGGAGAGCGCGGCTCGGCGCAGCGCGCCCGGCCGGGGCCGGGCTCCAGCGAGCCAGAGGTGGAGGAAGCCGGGTAAGTGAGCACGCAGCTGCTGATGCCTTGCAGAAAGCCTGCGTATTGCGTCTGTCTGTCTCTGAAATCTGTATCTCTCACGGGACCGAACAGCAGGGATATTTGTCTTTACGAAAAAACAAAAAGGATGTTTGACTGTCGTTAGATAGCGTAGTCCCCAAAGCCAAAGAATCTTCACTCC